AACTCTGGTTGCCATGGCAACCGAAAGAAAAAACTTTAATATCTTCTTTAAAAAAACCTGAGAGCTAGAGCTTAGATATTTGGCATGAAACATGTTCTAATGGATGTCTACCAAGTTTGTTCAAATAAAAGCCCTGGGGTCAAAATTGGCCCCGCCCCAGGGGGTCATTGATTTTCCCAATATGCACATAGTAAAAACTTAAAAAATCTTCTTTGAAAAAACCCAAATAGCTACAGTTTAGATATTAAGCATGAAACATCTTCTCATGAGTGTCTACAAAGTTTGTTCAAATAAAAGCCCTGGGGTCAAAATTGGCCCCACCCCGGGGTCATTGATTTTACTTATATGTGTATAGCAAAAACTTAAAACTCTTCTGTGAAAAAAAAAACGAAATAGCTAGAGTTAACATATTAAGCATGAAACAACATCTAGTGAGTGTCTACAAAGTTTGTTCAAATAAAAGCCCTAGGGTCAAAACTGGCATCGCCCTAGTGGTGTCATTGTTTTTAACTTTATGTGTATAGTAAAAACTTTAAAAAATCTTCTTTTGAAAAAACCCAATGAGCTCAGCGCTTAGATGTTTAGCATGAAACATCTTCTTATGAGTGTCTACCAAGTTTGTTAAAATAAAAGCCCTTGGGTTAAAATTGGCCCTGCCAGTGGGGGTGGGGGGGAGGCCTATATACAGGTGAGCGACCTCAGGGCCATCATGGCCCTCTTGTTACTAAGTTCTCTTGGTGTTTCTTTGTTGGGGTGTGGTTCTAAGGATATCACTGAGATTCTGACTTTGATAAGCAGGTATAATAGAATAAGCATGTTAGACAGTAAGACATTTTATTTATAGTCGGTTATGGTTAACAGTACAAAACATAAGCTTTAAGCTTGTATCCAACATGAACAAAAGATAAAAATAATAATAAGAAACAAAAATAAACAAACACGTTTTAAGATAATAATAGATACAATTAATTCATATTGTCATTGTAATGAAATCAGAGCATTTACAATGATAATGAAGTTAGGATAACAGGGTTTTACATATATATATATAGATACATTGTACATAATTCAAGGAAAAGATAACTAAAATTATTTACAAGCAAAAACATGAATAGAAATAGAACATGAACTGGAAAAGATTAGATGTACATATATAACAGGCACACTTATTACAAACAGGCATTACTCCATGTTTCAATTAGTCGTTTGAATTCATTGAAGTCAGATGTACATCTGAGATCATTAGGTAAACTATTCCAGATTTTAGATGCTTCAAAGAGAAAACTCTCTTTACCATACCAGTGGTTTGTGCGTACTTTAGGTACATCTAATGTTTTTTGGTGTCTAAAATTATAATTTGATGAAAGCACATTAACAAGTTCTTGAACATACTAAGGTAAAATTCTGTTAAGACATTGATAGACTTCATTTGCGAGTTGCTTCATTCTACTAATATGGAGTGATGACATATTTGTCAGTTTAAGCAGATCTTTATAAGTTGATGAATTGTCATTAATAATTCTGAGCTCTATGTTGAAGTTTTTCCAATTTGTGTGCATTGTCCTAGCTACAAAAATGCCAAACTAAAAGGCAGAAAATAAAGTTGGATCTGATAAAACTTTTGTATATAAGAATTTTTGCGTCCAGATTTAGTAGTTGAAGTTTGGACATCAACGTTTGTAGGCATCTGTGTTCAGTTACTACTTTCTTGTAGAAGCAAGATTCTCTGTTCTGTTCTTTAAAGAGTCCAATGTCATTGTAATCTCTGACATTATATTCTTAAGTTCCTCTATGAGATTGATGCAATTTGCTGAACTTGACTAGCATGCTTTTTAAAACACTGAAAAAGCAGTATATAGGAGGTGCAAAACGACCAACACCAGGGTAGGTTTAACTGCTTTTAATGATGGTTTACCGGTTTCGGTCTCACTATAGACCTTCTTCAGGACACATTTACATTGAAAATTAATAGCTAAAGTACACAAAATGCTCATATATGTAAATGATGTATGTTACTATATATAGTAACATGAACGTTCTGGTAATTGGCACTGTGCCAAGTCCTTGGTTAGTTTATTGATAAAACAGTTTACACGTGCATTTGTAGTTCTTCTGAAAAATTCCGTAGATGTTGCTAATGTTAATGATTAGTTTGTTGCTTTCGCTATTTTGTCCATATTCGTCTCTACAGAGAGTTGTATCATGGAGAGTTTTATTTGGTGAAACTATGGGTGTAATAAGATCTAGTACCTGGATTTTACAGTCCTCAACGTCTTCTTGTTTGGGTTGTTTTGTTTCTGTTCTTGGATTCTTTCCTTCAATGATCCTAAATCTAGGGGTCACTTTATAATTAAATTCCGAATCATACTTCTCCATTGTTGATTTTGGTGTTCACTTTGATCTCTTTGGTGGTTGTAGCTCCACTTCCGTCATATGCATCGATTTTCTTGCATGGCGTTTGAGGTTAGGTTTGCTGGCAAATGTTTTTAGGCACCAACTACACTCGTATTCTGTTTTTTTCTTTTTCGGTTTGATCATGTTTCTTCTTGTGTTGGTAAAACATGGAGGATGTTGTCGAAATATATCCACATATGTCATATAGTCTCATGAAGTTGGCTGTACTTGTCCTCTTCTGTTTCTTACGTGATATTCTGTCCCATACTGCTGGCTCTTCGTTGATTTCTGCATTTATGTCATCTGTCGTTGCTTTTCTAGCTGTATATACTTCCATGTTTGATTTACTGAATGATATTTAAACCTTCTGGTTGTTTGGTTTTTAAAAGACGTATCCAAACTTCTTCGGTTCTAAGTCTGACGTTCGTGTTTTTTGTTGTTGTTTGTATTTTGACGACGTTCATGTTCGTGACGTCGTGCATCAAAAAGTGGCGGGAAACCTGTTTCACGTTGTTTTTAGCGCGTATATCAGCTGAATGTCCATAGAGCCTGTCTCTAAATGAGTTACCAGATTGACCTACATATTGGATATTGCATTTCTTACATGTAATTAAATATATAATACTCGTACTTTTGCATGTATAGTTGCCTTTGATCTCGTAGGTTTTATTCGTTTGCGAGCTTTTGAATTCCTTACATTTTGCATGCTTTTTGAAAGACTAGCATATTTATATTGAAGGTTGTTGTTTTCATTTTGCAGCGTTTCATAATTGTTTTTCAACTTTTGAAATTGCTGTATATTGTTCTGATTTTCATACTTTCTAGGGGTCTCAGAAATATTGTTACGTGCTGGCCTTCTAGGACACGGGAAATCAGGCTTATTCTTGTTCAGGGACTTCTGCTTTCACATGAACATGCAGCGAACAGTATATGTATATAGTTTGACCCCACAGCAAAGACAAGTGGACTGATAATTACAAGGGAGTTATACGGTTTTTAAAAGAACTAAAATGTAATTGATAATAAACTAAGAATAACAGTTGAACAAATTTTATATCAGGTAGATCTATTCAATTATGCACATTTATTCATCAGCATATAAATGTTGTTATAATAATACAGGCATTCTTCTTGTGTAAGATTAAAAGTATTCATCATAAAAAATGCAGAACCAATATACTGTGTTGGTGGCTAAACAGTGTTTAAAGAAGAATTAGATCTATACAACAATCTACTATCTAAATATTTTAAAAGCAATCTAATTTAATTGAGTAAGTTATATCAACCAAAGTAAATCATCAACGTTTCTACAAACAATTTATTTAATAAATTCTGAATGTTTGCTACTGAAGCTTGCTTAAGTTCTGAAGTATTAATAAAAGATTATCTTACTTAAAATTAAGCAAATAATTCAATGTAAATATAAATCTATTAAATCATTAAGTTAAAATACCTATTCTGGAATTAAATTGGAGTGAAAAGCAGAAATATAATGCTTTTAGTTTTTCAAGCTGTGGAGTGACTTCAAACAGTAATACAGCGACTTTTATACACGCGATTCAAACATAAACAACAATGTTTGTCAACAATTCAAACAAAAATAAAAGGGGACCCATAAGGGGTTCATACAGTTCGGACACCTCAAACAGTAAATAAATCAATCAACATATCAATGAATAAAAATGAAATTAATGCATACTTTTACAATAGATAATTATTACAATATTCAAAATACAATAATAAGGAGCGAGTAGTAGATGTTGTGCCTATTAATAATTAGGAGTATAAGGCCCCTGTTCGGCACTCAAAATATAAGCAATGACAGGGTTAGTCTTTGACCCTTAGAAAAGGTGAAGGTCGTGGGTCAGACACTTCCAATTTTTCAGATTTGTCTTTTGATATATTAAAGTTACTAAACATACTTTTCACGAAGAAATAACTCCGAAGGATACTTTGAAATAAGCCATCAAATTCAACCTAAAAATGTAAACAAACACTCTAAAATAGGAGTATGGGTTACGTGGGTTAACGTGGGTTAAGGGGTTCCTGCGTGGTTTAAGTGGAGTTTCCTTCGGAACAGACCCTAAGCAACATATCCCAACCCCGACCCTTAACCCACGCCCCTTAACAAAGTCGCAAATTGTCCTCCAGTTCAAGGTCTAGTAAAAGTATACCTCTGTTACGGCTCAATCTTTAAAAACTTTCAAATTTTTAGCTCACCAGTGTCACAAAGTGACAGGGTGAGCTTTTGTGATTGCTTTTCATCCGGCGTCTGTCCGGCGTCCATCAGTCTGTCCGTCTGTAAACTTTTACCTTAAATGACATCTCCTCATAAACCACTAAGCCAATTCATCCAAACTTCACAGGAATGTTTCTTTGGTGGTCACTTTTAAAAATTGTTCAAAGAATTTAATTCCATGCAGAACTCAAAACTTTAAATATCTTCTTCTAAAAAAACCAAAGAGTTAGAGCTTAGATATTTGGCATATAACATCTTCTAGTGAGTGTCTACAAAGTTTGTTCAAATAAAAGCCCTGGGGGTCAAAATTGGCCCCGCCCCAGGGGGTCATTGATTTTCCTTATATGCATATAGTAAAAGCTTAAAAAATCTTATTTTAAAGAACCCAAAGAGCTAGAGCTAAGATATTTAGCATGAAACATCTTCTAATGGGTGTCTACCAAGTTTGTTCAAATAAAAGCCCTGGGGTCAAAATCGACCCCACCCCAGGGGGTCATTAATTTTCCAAATATGCATATAGTAAAAACTTAAAAAAATCTTCTTTTAAAGAACTCGAAAGAGCTAGAGCTTAGATATTTAGCATGAAACATGTTCTAATGGGTGTCTACCAAGTTTGTTCAAATAAAAGCCCTGGGGTCAATATTGGCCCCGCCCCGGGGTCATTGATTTTCCTTATATGTGTATAGCAAAAACTTAAAAAATCTTCTTTGAAAAAACCCAAATAGCTAGAGCTTAGATATTTGGCATATAACAATTACAAAATATTTTTACTATTTTTTGATTTTTTTCTTCTCTTTTTTTGTCTATACAAAATATTTATTAATTTGTTTTATAGATAGATAAATCAATTAAATACAATGTTTATGTGTTATAAATAAATAAATAAATAGTTGATATACAAGATTTAAACATATTACAATTTCATCTCGCCCCTGGCAATCACCCAAATTTTATCTTTTATATTTTCAACTGTTAGAGAACGCCAGCGCTCTCTAACAGCTGATATGGATTCGAGCTTCAGTGAAATCGCCACCTTTGAAGGTTTCTTATTAAGATGTTTTGCCAGGTCTATTTGGTACCGCCAATCATGGCCAAAACAACTTTCTGCTTCTGAAGTCCAGATCCGTCTTTGACGGACCTTTTTGCCAGAAGAGTAAGTTCGGCTTTCCTCCTTACTAAATACACTAAAAGTGTCTTCACAACTGTCAAGCCAATTGGTCACTTTGGTATTAGATGGCTCACATGACATATTTTCCATTTCATTAGTCGGCATTGATGCATGTTGGGGCCGAAAAAAAATGGGCAATGCTGCACGTCCTGGCAGACTTTTAGGTATTACCGATCTAATGCTGGTTGTATCCGAATTGGGCTGTGTATCAACTTCGGCATTACTTCCAAATCCTCCAATATGCGGGGTAAGCACTGGGGGTGCTCGAGCTTGTGTCTCAGAGGAATTATCACTAAGCACTACAGTGTTGTCATCGTCATTGACAACCTGAGCAGTAAGCTCCGGGTGTGTCGGTGTTGTTGTTACACATGGGGATGCTGCACGTCCTGACAGACTTACACGGGACGGGGTATTGGTTACACATGGGGATGCTGCACGTCCTGACAGACTTGCACGGGACTGGGAATTGGTTACAGATGGGGATGCTGCACGTCCTGACAGACTTACACGGGACGGGGTATTGGTTACACATGGGGATGCTGCACGTCCTGACAGACTTACACGGGACGGGGTATTGGTTACACATGGGGATGCTGCATGTCCTGACAGACTTACACAGGACGGGGTATTGGTTACACATGGGGATGCTGCACGTCCTGACAGACTTACACGGGATGGGGTATTGGTTACACATGGGGATGCTGCACGTCCTGACAGACTTACATGGGACGGGGTATTGGTTACACATGGGGGATGCTGCACGTCCTGACAGACTTACATGGGACAGGGTATTAATCACTGGTAAGGACGGGGATGGGATGGAGACTCTTGTGGTTGATAATCCTGGCAGACTTGATGGTGGTTGTGCTGTCTTAGGCGGCGAATCCGGACATCTTGACACTGTAGCGACCGGCTTTCTAATCACCCTCGGGGTAAGGTCCAGGTCTTTCCTGACCTCATGCAGCTCCACAGAAATGCCGGCGGCCGAAGATAGATCATACATTGTCCTCTCGATTTCTTACGAATGCTTTAGTTGTTTTGACAACTTTTCCTGCAAGTGTGGAAACTTTTTGAGCACCAGTGAAACAAAATGCTTTCTGTTGTCAACCGGCGAGAATGGGCCGTAGGTTTCTTCGAGACCACATTCTAGCCAAGCATTACCCCACTCTCTTGAAACTCGCGAGGAATTAAAAGGAGTACCCTCCCTTGTGAACGCTGCTCGGAAACGTAACCTCAGTGTGATTGCAAAGGTTCAATAACGCGTCATATTCTAATGTGTCAAGTGGGAGGGTTATTGGACCTTGCTAGCCCATTTTGTGATCATGAACCGACAACACGTAAAACACCTCACCCTCCCTCCCTAACTGTTGTTCGGCATTGTATACCTCGTTAATAAGCATTCCCTAAATAACTTCGGTCCTTGCCCCTGAATTAATGAGGCAGGCGCTGATGGCATACTTAAGGAGGTGACGCTTTGTATGCTCAGCGCTGTTATGGCCGCTCTCATCCTTCTGTGTTGGGCGAATTTTTGGATATCTATGTTAAGGATTTTAATCCTTTTTAGTGTCTGTGTCTTTATTCTGTGCTTTGTATCACACTTCCCAAGAGACTTTGAAAGTCCTTAACACCTTTCAATGTGTCGGGCATGTGTGCCGGAAGGAATAAGATCCTTCGCCTCTAAAAAGCTAAGAAATTTGCCCAAGGCAAGGATCAATGCTTTGCCCCAGTAAGGGCTCTTGTCCTCGCATTCGGACTTACAATATCTTACGATATTTTCAGGGTTGCACCCTTTGTAAACCTCTCTAACGTTATGTATGGCGTTGCAATAACACATATATCTGCGAACTATTGCACCACATTCTTAAGCCCTAGGCGGAGCTTGACTTCCGCCTAGGTCTAATTCAAGATGTATCACCCAGTCTTCAATAATTCTCTGAGTGTTAACAGGCCTCTTCGCTGGCCTCTTTGCTGGTGGAGGTCTTTCTCCTTCACTGAACGACAAGGAAGAGGATGAGTCCGATGAGTCACCGGGAATTTCCGACGTCGGTGAGTCACGAGGAGGGATACTGAAATCCATATCTGTGATTTTCACAGCTCAGCGTGCCAGGAGCTTAGACTCTGGCCTGCAGCACAGATGCCGAGGTCCGCGCAGATGGAGCGGCACTGCTGCCACAATTGCAGGGCATTCTGGCATAGGACAAACCTTATATGCCCGGCCACGATAGTTCTTCTTCCCTTTTAACTGAATATATGTGGCGTACAGTTTACACTTATACTCTGTACGCATCACATCTAGATACCGATATTTAAGATGCGGCGTAAGTCTCTTTACCGACAACTTGCACACAGGACAAGTATATTTCTCCCTGTGTTTAGCCATAGTTCCCTTACTCACACACCAAACAAAATAACAATTTGTCCGAAACACACTATAGCATACAAGTCCACAGGTCACACTAAACAACAAAAAAAAAAACAAACACGCACAAATTACACGAATGTACCACATAAACACACGACAAAATACTTAAAATGACTTAGAAATTAACTTTTACGCTTTAAGAACTGCGATAATAAAAGACGACCGCACACCTTGAAATACAAAGCCGGACTGAATTTGTTTACCATTTCTGACAAGCAAATAATTTAAAATTTATAAAAAGAATAAGGAAAGTGAAACACACGAAACAAAGTGGGTCAGGTTTCTATAATTTTATTTAAGACCTACGTTTCGGTTATTCAATAGACTTCATCAGGGTACAGATATATCAGAATTTTTCAACTAAGGTACAGTTTTGAAGGTTCTTTTTGTCACATGATCAAATCTATTTATAGAAGTTATTGTTAGGTGGTTCTTTTGTCCGTATATAGTTATTTATATGAATAATTAAAAAAATAATAATAATAAATGTTTATAGTTATTATGAAGTTATTGTTATTTAATTAAAAATACCATAGATCGAGTAAATCATTATGTCCATGTGTTTTGTGTATAGAAAATCGTCTTTTTCGTCTTGGCAAATTGTTACATCTGAGCTTGTATGTGTCGGCGAATTTACATTGGATCTAAAGGGAGAGTCCGGTAATGGTGATAGTGGTTCTTCTACTGTTATTTCCTTTATCATTTGTGTGCAGTTAACTTCTGGTGTAACTTTTTTGGCTAGCCAATTTTTTTGTCCTTGAACGATTCGAAATTTAGGCATAGTTGTAAGTTTTGTGTTAAATGTACAGTGAAATTTGAGAAAACCGGACGCTGAGAAAATTGGAACTCTCTAAATACCGGACGAATAATTCAGTCCCAAATTTTCCCTTCTTTAAACTATTGTATTAAACATTGACAATACCGGAATCTGTCAAAACCGAATATCAGACGGTTGAAAGGGGACTACAAGGTCCATTATATAGACAATTACCCTAACAATACCGGACGACGAAGGTGTGAATAACGTTGTGTACTTATCAATTGGTTGTGTCTAATACGCGAACTGAGCGGTAACGGAACAATAATTATCTGATTTGTTAATTATGTCTCTTTTTACAGTTAGATGTTACCGTTTAAATGCACGAGAAATTGATAAGTTAAAATCAGTATGAATGAAAAATAGAATATTATTATACTGCATTGCTTTTTGTATATTCATTTCCCAAAAATGACAACGCAACGGAAACGACATTTATCAGTGCGAGGTTCTATTCCATAGCCTAAAAGAATTCGACGAGAGCTGTCTATACGTGACAAATTTGAATTAGTTAAAGACAGTGAAACTTTGCCGAGACCTACTTTAAAAATCTCTATCTGAATAATATGGTATAAGCAATATTAACAATTGGCGCATTATTATAAACAAACAAAGTAAACTATGTTCGTTAAATAATTATCCATTACCCAAATGTAAACATATACGGTTGTAATTGAACTGTAACTGCTGTTCGTTTAAATCCAAAATTTTATTGTATTTATATGCAATAATTGGACAAAAACAATTAAATCATATTGTAAAGTATTTTTATCATTTCTTTATTAAGCAATATACTTACTCATGATCATGAAAATGCAAATATACGTTCAGCATCTTGTGTAAGTTATTGCTCGGTTTATAAGATCCTGAATAGCTGAAGGGGACATTGAGAATACCGGACCGCTGAGAAAACCGGACAAAACCCTCGGTCCGAAAGCCGTCCGGTTTTCTCAACTTTCACTGTACATTCAAAAGGTGGTTGCCATGGTTTTACTGGTTTTATTTCGTCTAAGTCAGTTGTTCTTTTCTCCGTTTTAGTTTGGTATCTTTGCATTTCCATGCCGTGTATTTGACGGCAGTGTCTTTTAAGAATGTCCCTTCTTTTGTATTCTTGATCACAATGGAAGCATATGAACATCGTAATTGTTTTCTCATGTGTCTTGTAGTGTCGGTTGAAGTTTGATTTGGATCCTTTAATGAATTTATTACATTTTAAACATTGCCGTAAATTTTTTATTTAAGTTTGAATGAATCTGCCGGTGCTGGTACTTGCTTGGAATATTTTTTCATATCTGTTATTTCCATTATTGTATTAAGCGACCTCAGGGCCATCATGGCCCTCTTGTTTCTTCTTTTTTTCTTTTTTTTTCTTTTTTTTTTGTAATTCAGAAACTTTTCATTTGTTTTATTTGTAATTAAGCTCCATTCTACAACATAAATAAAACATAACACCTTCTAATTTTCAGCCTATTCCAACTTGTGGTTCAGGTTTTATCGCCAATCATTTTTCAAACAGCTAACAAATGTCACAATTTCTTTTGCACAATATTAAAAGACTTTATGGTGGAGGGCCATGACCAATCTCTGCCTCCTTGAACACCTTGAACTCGATCCGGGCGTTGAACAAAATGTCCATAGCCTGGTCAGCTTTAAAGTGTTCAAAAAAGGCAAAGCCTGGCCGGCCGTATACCTCTACCTCAACCACCTCCATATCCCAGGAATGAACAACACGGTCAAAGGAGGGAAAATTTCTCATTGACACAAGAAGAAGTACAGAAAGAAAAACCATGATTCTTGCTAGAGAGTCAGATACTGAATGAAAATACTGGCAAGTGTAAAGAGTATATTTAGGAGATAAAATGAGAATCTGAAAATAGAATTTTTGTTTCAATTTTGGCTCGATTTAATAATAAGCCATGTGCCGTTTATTCCATACCCATTACTATGTCAAGATGGATCTAACCTGCATACATGCATACGTACGTACGTACATTCATACATACATACATACATACATACATACATACATTTATTTGAAAATAATAAAACATAAATTTGAACCTAACATACACTCAAACATAGCGGTCTATATTTAGAGACACACCTATACAGTAACAAACAAAGCCGAACAGACAGATCTACTGTGAAGAATTTTATTTTAATGTTAACCCCTGTGGGGGTTGTCAAAAAATTATTAGTTCTACTACATCCATCGGTACGTTATTTGTTTCCCAATGCATCGACAACGGAAGCAGGGAGCCAGTCTTATGTGCGCGACACTGGCAAGGTTGTAACACCTTACCAGCTGTCTTGCACAGAATATGCAAACATTATGTTTGCATATAGGCGTGAAAGGTAGATGAACTATCTTTCTGCCACATAGATGGTAATTATGCATGTGACGAGGCATTTTACCATTTGTATTAACAGTGTAATACCTATGTACTTATGCACATTTAATATATGGAAACCCTTATGTAACAGGGTCCATTTGACTACCCGTTGGCCACTGGTTTCTTCCAGTGTTTACCCCTTGGCCACGGTGAGGCCGGTAGTCATGCAAGGGGAAAATTTGATTATCAACAACGATTTAATAAATAAATAAATGAATCAGTCATATAATTATACAAAATATTGTAACAAAATCAAAAATGTAACAATGATCAAATAAATAAATCAAATCTTAGGCCCAGGGCAGCAATAAACCCTTGACATGTACACATGATTGCAACAAAATCATAGATTAAACGGGTTGATTTATCACATATATGCTCATAGTAATCATTTATATATTTTTACTATTTTTTTTATATTTTTTTTGGCACAAGCCCAATCACTATATTTACAATAATAAGATAAGTATAATTGGTTATATATAAAGTCAAGATGGCTTGGATTTATATATTTATGTATATATACAAGTTTATTCTTTTTCCCTAAGGTCCCTTTTGGCCTCTACAGTACCCATATTTTGTCCTTAATTGCTTGGACACTTAAGGTTGCCCACCTTGCTCTGACCTCGGGCATCTGTGTCTTGATAGGGTGCTTTGTCACACACTTCCCCAGAGACTTTGAAAGTCATTTACATCGTTCTATGTGTCGGGCATGTGTGCCATAAGGAATAAGATCCTTCCTCTCTAAATAACTTAGAAATTTGCCTAAAGCAAGGATCAATGCTTTGCCCCATTAAGGGCTCTTGTCCTTGACTTTGGATTTGCAATATCTAACGATATTTTCAGGGTTGCACCCTTCTTATACCGCTCGTACTTTATGTATGGCGTCACAGTAATGCATATATCTGCGGACAATTGCTGCAGATTCTTTAGCCCTAGGCTGAGCTTGTATTCTGCCTAGGTCTGATTGAAGATACATCTCCCAGTCTTCAATTATTCGTTGGGTATTCAAAGGCCTCTGGGCTGGCCTCTTTGCTGGTGCAGGTCTTTCTCCTTCACTGAAGGACGAGGAAGAGTCTGATGTGTCACCGGGAACCCCCGACGTCGGTTAGTCAGGAGGAGGGATACTAAAATCCATATCGGTTATCCTTATGGCAAGGCGTGCCAGAAGCTTCGACTCTGGCCTGCAGCACAGATGCCAAGGTCAGCGCAGATGGAGTGGAACTGCTGCCACAATTGAAGAGCAATCAGGCATAGGACAAACCTTATATGACCGGCCACAATAGTTTTTCTTTCCTTTCAGCTAAATATACGTGGCGTACAGTTTGTACTTATATTCAGTACGCATCACATCAAGATGCTGATATTTCAGATGCGGCGTGAGTCTCTTCATGGACAACTTGCAGAAAAGGCAAGTATAGCACTCCCTGTGTTTAGCCATTGTT